TGTATTGATAATATGAATTGTAATTTTACTGTTACATACTTTTAACCATGTTACTACTTCTGATAAACTGAATCTCTGTGATCTCTAACATTAAAAGAATGATCATATGTGAACTTATCGCTTTGACTGAATGGTTCATTTCCACCAATAACTAAAGCAGATGAATTAGCCCTTATTTAAGACCCTGTAGAAGCAATATCAAATTCTATCTTATTATTAGCACCATCTTGAGATTTTTCAGTACGACATTGACTAATTTTTATAGATTTGATGCATTTTTCAAATAATTTTTCCTCCTTGTCTTTTTTTTTTTTTTTTTCCAATGGCTCTTGAATCCAGAAAATTTCTTTTTATTACTGTCGACTTTTAAAAATAGGCATGAAAAACTAAAAGAAATATATTCTTTAAAAATAAATAAGTTGTTCAAAAATATTTTTACTTGTACTCAATGCAAATAAAATGAAAAAAATATCAAGAAATCTAAATTCAACCTAACAAAACAATATTAAAGTATTTTAAAGATCTTTTAAAGCTGGGTAAAATAAACACCTTGAATCATCATCATTATTATGTGCAATTAACATCATTGTTGTGCTGTCTTTCTGGAAAGAGCATTTATTAAGCATTATTCAGGGTACACAGCCAATCCAAAATATTTTCTGAGAATATTTATACATTACATTATTTTATATTCTTTGGTAAAGTTCTAGTAATTACATACAGTCAAAAGTCGTTAATTCGGACACCCATAATCTGGACCTCAAAGCTACAAACTTTCTGCGCATGCGTCTCGTTCTTACAGCTGCGAATATGTTTGTGCGCATACGCGTTTAATGTGTAAAGGAGTTATACGCTAAGCTAAAGTTATCTAATTCAGTTAATGTTGCAGATTGCGTTGTTCCTTAATCTTCGAATTGGATCCGGCTTATTATTTTTTGCAGACTGTTAGAGCAATTTTATAAAAGTAAGCTTGAACTTTCGATTATGTCAAATAGAATTTCTGATATATATTTACTACAAAGCGAAAGTATGTTTGAAATCCGAAATCTGTTTATCAATTTCACGCTGCTCTGCGGCAGAGGGGGGGGGGGCAGAAACATCATTATTAGATTATGATAGATTAGAAAGATTATGTCAAATAGAATTTCCAATATATATTTACTAATATGTAATTTGTATCTACAAAGCGAAAAGTATGTTTTGAAATCCGAAATCTGTTTATCAATTTCACGCTGCAGATTGGAAGTTGATCTGTCAGCACTATCCTTATCTTCAGGGCAGATGTTTTTATTTTATTTGGTTTATAATTCCGTACTAAGTGTAGTATTTCATCTCAATGTACTCCGTCTTTGATATGATTTAAATCAAGTTCCTCGTTATTATAATTCGCTTCTGATAGTGAAGAAAGTGACCCACGGGTTATTGAAAACGAGAACATTTCGATTGACAAATTAGTCGGTATTCTCAACACAGCAATTATAGGACTTGAACAGCGGAACTTTGTAACTAAACAAGAAATTATGTCTGTTTAATAGAATTAAAGAGAAAGTATTATCACATGAAACGAAGCAACTTACATTGAAGGAAATGTTTAATAAAGTAAACAAATAAATATTAAGCTTTTTCTTTTTGTAAATTTTGATACCCTTTAGATCGTAATTGTTCTTTATTTCATAAATTACAGTTTCATATGGTTGATCTTTACATTACGGTAACTGGTAGTTTGGCGACATTTTGGAGGCGATAAAGGTTACTACCTGGGACTTTGGTAATAATGTGAGCAGTACTGAGTTCCGATTACGCATTACTTTGTGTGGGGGAAATGCGAGATCATGGGATATGTCATGTGATATTAATGGACGAATTACGGTTCTTTAATCGGAAAAGGGGGGAAATCGGGAAAAAATCTGGAAATTTTGTATTTGGCTTTATTCTGTGTTGTGTGAAATAGTGTTTGTGAATTTTTGGATCCCATGGCCGTAACTAAAGTGAATTCGAAATGGGTATTTAGTGGTATTGAAAAGGATAGTAAGAAATGTTTTTTAAGGTTGTGTGAGAGAGAAATAAACATGTTTTATTATGTTATTTATTTTACCTGGTATCTTGCTTTGAAAGATAAGTATGATTTTAAAGATTCTGAAAGAGAATGAAGAAAAGTGTATCCGCCACGTAATGAAGATTCTGAAGGAGATTAGGTAAGTTAGTATTTTTAATTATTTTTTATGCATTGTTGGAAATGTAAGGGGGGAAAGGAATTTGGTATTATTGGGAAAAATTGTTATTAGCAATGATTTAGTTTAAAGTAATTAGGATTGTAAGGTAATTTTTATTAATTGAATGTATGTGCTCATGTATATTTTAAGTGGTGTTTTTGAATTTAATTATATTTTAATGAAATGATAGTTATTTTGTGAATTTTATACTTGTAGGAATTTGGTGTATGTTTAAGTTGAAATAAATGTGCATGGAAATAATTTAAATATTTGATAATAAATATTTGTAATGCTTCATGTATGAATTCGTTGGTGACGTGTATAATGTAATAGATGATTAGAGTAAAAGTTTTTGGATATTTTATTTATTTTATAGGTGGAAATGTTCATATTTGTAAAGGGTAAATACTTTTTCGCGATCATGTAATTTCATATATGTTCTTTTTTACCGGTTTAAAGATTGAGAAAATTGTCATGTATTTTCGTGAAATTTTTTCAAATTTATGAGAAAAAAGCAGTGTACATGGATATAGTGAAGAGTGTGCGGAATGCCATTTTTGTGCAATTCTGGGATGTTTTTTAAGTAAAAATAAGTCGACGTGTACATGGTTCAGTGATATTTTAATGAAATGATAGTTATTTTGTGAATTTTATGCTTGTAGGAATTTGGTTTACGTTTAAGTTGAAATAAACGTGCATGGAAATAATTTAAATATTTGATACTAAATATTTGTAATGCTTCATGTATGAATTCGTTGGTGACGTGTATAATGTAATAGATGATTTAGAGATAAAAGTTTTTGGATATTTTATTTATTTTATAGGTGGAAATGTTCATATTTGTAAAGGGTAAATACTTTTTCGCGATCAGGTAATTTCATATATGTTCTTTTTACCGGGTTTAAAGATTGAGAAAATTGTCATGTATTTTCGTGAAATTTTTCAAATTTATGAGAAAAAAGCAGTGTACATGGATATAGTGAAGAGTGTGCGCAATGCCATTTTTGTGCAATTCTGGGATGTTTTTTTAAGTAAAAATAAGTCGGGCGTGTACATGGTTTATGTGTATGTGTTATTTTGAAAAACGCGTAAGGCGTATGGTATTGTGCACTTTTTCTGAATTTTGCAGTGAATATTTTGTCATGATTAAGCAGTTTTGTTTGATAAAATTTCTAGCATAAGTGTAATTCGGCTAGTAGATTGTTGGAAGAAGTGTTCAGTAGATAAGAGAAAAGAAACATGTCTTTACTTCGTGAAGACAAAATGGCGGCGGGGAAAAAAAAATAGAGGGTTGCTGTAGGGGAGTTGGTCACCAAATTTTCGCCAAAAAATCGCCAAGTTACCGTAATGTAAAGATCAACCTTTCATATTTTTAATTTTGTAATTTCTGCATGCCATCTTACCAGATTTAAACTGATGATCTATAATCCGGAAAAATCGATAATCCGGAATCGGCGAAGTCCCGACGAGTCCGGATTAACGACGTTTGACTGTATAATGAAATGCCACCGAACCGGTATAGTCATTAACGTCGCTGACTGCAGTGCCGAAGAGCCTGGGTTCGAATCCCAGAGAAGGCATGGATGTTTGTAAATGTATAGTGTCGGTGCGGCATGGTGGCACTCTAAATATGCGGCAAGCCGAAAGTCCTCTCATGTAGTTTGGCGGAAGGGGAGAGGAGTGGGTGACCCTCGGATCCATCCCACCGGGGTGCTCTCCATCAAAATTGGGAGATTGGGACTGGAAATGAGTTAAATCGCACTGTCACCTGAATGGTGCTCGAGGCTCTTGCCAACGGAAGGCGTAATCTAGCGCTCTTTGCCACGGGGAATTCTGTGGGCTTGGGCTATTATGTCAGACAAATGAGCATAGGTAACATAGATTTTAGTTTCATATTCATCAACCATAAAATTTAAATGTTAAGGTTTCAGACTCAGAAACGGTATGGTTGATGATAGCGAGTTAGAACATTGAACGCTTAGTTTAGAAGCAGCTCATTCAGTCATTAAAATATTACAGGAAATTTTGGATTACTAAAATCTGCAAAACATATTGACTGAACTTATAACTAATGAATCACATACATGTGTGCAGTTATAAATTTATGCTATAATACTGAATAGAGAGGGAACACCTGATACTTATGCAATGGCATTACTGACAAATATCAAAAAATGAGGTTAATCGGCAGTTTTCGGATAACCGGCTTTTGGCGACCAACCCTGTTACAGCAACCTACTAGTTTTTGTTTGGACGCCATTTTGTTTTCACGAAGTAAAGGCATTTTTTTTTTTTTTTTATTTTCCCCCTCAACATTTTTTTCCAACAATCTGCTAGCCAAATTATGCTTATGTTAGAACTTTTATAGAACAAAAATGCTTAAACATGACGAAGATTAGGGGCGAAATTGGGAGAAAGTGCAGAATCGAAAACTGCTTGCCGCGTTTTTAAGAATTGCACATACACAGTATCATCCATGTACACGTCGATTTATTTTCACTTAAAAAAAATCCCAGAATTGCACAAAAATGGCATTGCGCACACTCTTGACTTTATCCATGTACACTGCTAAAGTCCTAGCTAGTAACCTTTATCGCCTTACCAAACTACCTGTTACCATATTCCAAAGATTAGCCAAAAATGAATTTATAATCAAATCATATCAAGCAAAATATTACAGTTTAAAGAACAGTGCAATGAAAATATACATTATATGGAATTTAATAATTAAATATTTTATATAGTGAGCAATAATTTATGCAGAAATGTAAATTAAAGTCGGAGAAATAAAATTAGGAACTTTACTTTCATACATATATATATATATTATGTTAAATACTTGACTACAAGAAACATTATAATGCAAGTTACAATCATACCACCAAACAATACATATTTGTCTTGATAAGTTCGTTTTTCTATGAGTCTCATAACAGTATTTGACAGTCCTAAGGTATTAGCAATATCCAAAATTTTTTTATGAGTCCCTTTTAACGTGACTCTCTGATCTCGTAGATTAGTTAGAATACTGCTTCCAGAACCAATCAATTCATCAATTCCGTGATGAGCATTTTGAAGACTAGCATTATGCTGTAACGAATGATCTATCATAATTGCCGTATTCTGCGGATTAGCTGTAAATTTTTTTGCTAATAACTCTTCGCGCTCCCGAATTTCCTGTTCTCGTAACATCCTTCTGTGAATTGCATTCTGTAAAGAAGTCTGATAATGCCGGAAATCATATTTCAACTGGTCGACTTGCACACGGGCAGCTACCCTGCGATTTGGAGCTTCTTTATTTACCAGTATATCCAGTTTCGAACAACTATCGGAGATTGAATCTAAAATCGACTGAATATCATTTTCAATTAGGTGAGCTTCTTCTGGAGAACTTTTCTCCAAACGAACAAAATGTCGATGCACCTCTTCTAACATAGCACTAGTTCTGTGATATAAGATCTCCATGATTAAAAATATAATTAATCTTCGGTCAAACAAATTTAATACGCGTATTACAGTCCGCACAAATTCATGTATTATACAGAAAGAGAAAAATAATTTATATTCTTGAAGTTATTATATTACTTTCTAACAAGAACGCGTGTAGAACAAGTAACACATGGAAGTAAATGCTTCACGTACGTGTCATGTCAAACAGTTTGTAAATTTCGCTGCGCCGGACTGGCCGGACAACATGTGACAGTAGCACCGCAGCAGGAAATATTGCAAAGCAGCTGTCTGCGTCAAAATAGAAATTCACGCGTAAATTTCATTTTTAAATACTCAATAGAAATTATAAGTTTGAAATCATACCTTTTTATTGATGATTACGTGGTTGATTATTTTCCGATTAGAACATTCTGTATGACATTTTTCGATGACGTCATGAATTGCGTCATTCTGCTGATTTTTATGGCAGTTTTGCAGAGGTAAACAATCACACGCTGGTATGTTGTTAAATACGGACATTACGGGTAGCTATCTATGTTCTTAAATTACAATGCAAGCTATTGAAAATAAGCATCGAGATTATGCAGGAAAGGATAAAGTAAGTGTCAGTGCCAGTGCCAATATCTTGCTTCAGTCTTCTATATTTTTAAGCAATACTTGTACTTTGGGTCATGTGATTTTGTTTTGATGTATAGGTAAGCCTAATCAAATATTAACTGTATTCGTTATTTAAAGGCCTTATTTGAATAGTTTCTGAAAAATATCCAAATCATTTTAGTTCTGGCTTATGTTATATTATCATTATTTGATGTGACGTAATTATATTATTCAAGATTTAAAGACACTAAGAAATTTTCGAGACAACTCGTGGTCTTTGTTTACATGTGCAAAATTAAATATTTGCCGCACATTACACACATTCCATTAATTCTGAAAATTTCTCAATTTAAATTCGATTTTCTTGAAACACAAAAGTTATGTAACATATTATTTGTGTTTTAAGGGCAAATAACATGGAATTTAAAAAAAAATGAAAATGCAGAATTTTTACATTTGTATTCAGGAAAACAGAAGGCCTAGTACTTTCTTTTAAACAAATATCTTAAAATTTAATTTATTGTTCAGAAATAACTGAAGTGACATTTTATACATCATTTAACTATAATTGAGCAAATTATGAATCTTAAGAATGAAAATCAATAGTACCATAGCTTTAACTTTCAAACTAAGAACAGGTGCTTCTTTAGAGCTTGGAGACAGCACATAATCATTTTCTAATATCTTAATGTATAGAAACTTTAAAGAAAATCACATAAAAAGAAGTTGCCAAAAGTAAAAATTCAGAAAAATATCCATTCATTATAAATTTTTTGTATATTTAAAAGAAAATTTATTGGAAATATGTTTGAATCAAATGCTCATTAAATTAAAAAAATTTCCTTCTAGTATATCAAAATTAAAACAAGTAATGGTGTAACTGGGTATTGAATTCTGTATTATGTATAAGAATATCTAATATTGATATTAATGATTTGCATATATTGTATTATTATATAATAAGAATTTGAAAGCATAGTTTTAAAAGAAATATTTTATTATAACTATTATATACATTTTAACAATTATAACTTTCAACAAATAACAATATCATACTTCTGAAAAAAAATAGAAATTATTTAAAGTAAAAAAACACCTTTGCAAAGCATAATATGAATAGCTATATTTAACATATGTATATGAAAAGTGGCATTTAGATGAACACCATATAGATTACAAGTAAACCTACCTGTAATAAGTAAAATTCATAAATCTAAATAGTATATAAAATAATTAAATTTTTAATTTTTGAGCATATTTCACTTTGTAGCATTTCTGTTTGAATCTAGCTCAAAATATTTTCAATAATTTATAATGTTTATTAAAATTCCTCCACACAACCCGCTTTCTTAAAACGTGATCCAGTAAAAATAATTTTAATTTTCATTCTTTATTTAAGTTATCCTTTTAAGATTTATCATCAAAGTAAAATGTGAAATGAATCTATTACATGTAATATAAATATTACCGCATGAAAAAAGACAGAGAACCTTACACGAATATTTATATATAATCTATAATTACAGTGAAAACATATAGTTCACTGTTATAGTTTGCTTTGCGAAATAAATTTTGAACTTGCTATGATATATCTTTTTTTTTTTGGAAGGGGGGAGAAATGCAAATTATTATAATATTAGAAGTTAGCTTTTATCTTTTAAATGCTGTCAGTCACATCTTCCTGTGCATCATAAGCAGAAATCCATTAACTTGTTATAAAGTTCGCATTCAATGGTCTCTGTGCATAAAATAATGAATAACAACAGTAACTGCATTGTAAATGATTATAATTAAAACTATAAAGAAGTTACGAAAATAGTTCCAGATTGATGTTAAATATATGAACCACGAAACAATTGGATAACTATTATTTCTATCTTTGGTAAAAAAAAAGCAATATTGTTCCTTCATCATCTTTCTTTACACTTATGAATATATTTAAACTTATGTGCTTTTTGCAATTATATCCTTAAGTACCCTGTCATGTAATAAAATTTTCATCATAGTCATATTAATAATTAAGTCATGTAAATATTGCTTTAACTTGGAAGATTGATGCCTTTAATTAGACAGACCTGGATGCATAATTTTGTCCACATATGAAAGAAGTTCAAGATTTTTTAAATGAGTAATTATAAAAACTGGAGAATTTATTAACTTATAAAAAAACATATAGGAGAATCCAATGAAAACATTGGTTATATTTATTGGTTCCCAGATGTTTTCCAAAAAAAATCAGGACCACCAAAATTTCATGATCATGCCTTCATATTGCTTAACGTCACCATAAAATACATGCTGTGGAATGTACACGATTTTCATTATTTCAATTGAGTTCCTTGTTTTATAATTTTCTATTAGGTCTTCATACTATGTTTTAATTGTCATACAAAATTCTGTAATCTACAGTTCATAGGCATTCTTGGTGCTGAAATTATTTTTTCACAGAGTATCCTGGATTATTTTCACTCCAATCTAGCAGTCCTAATGCTGTGTAATGACAATTTTGACTAAATACCATTTTCAATTATAAAAAAATTTCATTTTTCATAAATATTGTTTGCTAAAGTTGGCAATATCATCATAGTGTTTACATATAAATAACCACTGACTATCATATTATACTGTCATTAAAATCACTATTAATCTTAACAGTCACATATATATTATTGACATTAAGGAAAACATAAATATATTATAGTTTGTGAAATCCCATATCAGTACATATTTATGTAATTTGCATAACTTTTTTACATCATTGAAATCTGAATGAATACTGCATATGCATGTATAAATTTTATACATCTGCAGTTTGAGAAATGTTTATACCTAGATAAAGAAGATGATATAAAGAAAATTAAAATAATCTCTTTTGTACAACATAAAGTATACATGATATGAAGAAAATAACAGCAAGGATAATTAATACTCTATCTGTCACTTCTCTTCGACCATATTTTTGAAGCAAAGTCTTTGACTGATTTATAGCACTTCCCATCGCTTTAAATTCCTCACTTGTATCTGTAACTACAGCAGAAGAACTAACTAAGGTATGCAGAGCTTCTTCACTTTGTTTCACTTGCATATCCATCATATTTTTTATAGACACTAGATTGTCTGTTATGGACGATGATTGTTTAGCTAAACTCTCTTTGTCAGCTCTTACTCGTTTTCGAGGTAAAGCAGCACTTCTTTCCAAAAGCTCCTCTTTATTTTGTTTATCTATAATCGCTTGACAGGCAAGATTTGCTTTCCGAAGCGCTATTTGATTACTTGTGTATTGTTTAAGATATTGTCCAACTTCTTTCAACAACTCTTGCTGATCAGAATCTTTATCTTGCTCCCGTGCTATAATCTCTAGTTCTTGGATTGCGTTTTTCATGGCTTTCATGTTTTCTGAAACTTGCAAATTTATAGTATTTAATACTTCAATAGGCCCCGTGCATTCCCTAATATCCTGTAAGTACGCTTTTACGTGCAGATCGGATTTTACTATTTCTTGTTGAATCATCCTAATCGTACTTTCGTTATTTTTGCAATTTTTATTTGTTAAGGTTTGCTGAAACATATTTTTAAACATAAAATACTTGTAAGCTTAAACGTCGTGTATTTGGATCGGATCAACAACTCAACGCTATCCGTTGTTGCCATTTCTTTATGTTTAAATAATGCGTCGATTTTGGTATCGAGACTAATAATTTTTCTAATAATTAAAAAAAAAAAAAAAATAGTAAATGATCTATTTTCGCTTTACAAATATGTAAATATACCTATATAAATATCTCTATAAATGTATTCTAATTAAATATCCGAACAACTGAAAACAAATTATTATGTGAATAAATAATATATCTCTTTTGAAGATAATTCTTTCGTAAATTTTCGGTGGCATTTTAGTGTGAAGCATTTTTAAATTTGGAAATGTTAAATGATTTCTTTGTCGACAATTTTTTAGTCCGATTTGTGAAAGGAATAAATCGTAAAATATGGAGGAGTTCATTATCGTATAGCAACAAGGGGTGATCTGTAGCGTCTGAGAAGCGTCGTCAGTAAAATGCGTAGTTGACTAGTTCTGTAGCGTTTTGGTGAGCGAGACCGGTGGTCTTGTGTAAGTGCTATATTAATAGTTGTATTTAAATAAAAATTACTGAATTTATTTTAAGATTATTACGCTTATTTTACGAATTATTACCTCGAAGTATAGATATGAATATGAAATGCTATAAATTTATGCAGTTATTTGGAATCAGTAACTTAATAAATTTAATGGAATACGAATTTTTCATGGTATCGATTTTTTTTCATAACTTTTTAATGACGTTCATGAAAATTATTTTCTTCCTTTATTATCGGAACGCTCAAAGTTGAAATCATGTAATTCCATTTCTTTATTTGAGGAGTATAAATACAGAGAAATAAATCGATGCAATTTGATACGAATTCCAAAAGGCCTATTGAAATTAAAATAACTGTACTTGAGAAAAAATGTCGATCGATATTTCATAGCATTTGGTGAAGATTAATTTCATCGCTCTAAATTAAAGCTTTAAAAAGAAGTTATTTTAAAAATAATTTCATTTTGGGTGAATAAGTTAGTAATAATTTATTATAAATAGTTTTTTACTTTCTAATATCATCTACATTTCTAGACTTGTTTTCACTATTTTTAGGGGTCTTCTTTATCTTTCTTTCATTTCTTTTTTTTTTCCTACGATTTTCGAAAATCGGGACCAAGGCAGAAAAGTAATTTATCCTAAGAATTTAAATCAATTCCTTGTTTGTGATAAGTTTTGAAAGAAAATCTTGGTGTATGTAACAGTAATTTTGTGTATAAATTTATGTGGAATATGTAGTACATATTTTTACCTTTTAGCATTGTAATGCTAATTTTTCATTAAAATGTGTTAAGTTAGTTTAAGTTAAGTTAAATTTCAATTGTTCTGTCAGTTATATTAATGTGCTACTATAGCTATCGTTTTTTTACCTCTTTTTGTTAATTTTGTGATATTTAATCATATTACAGAATATTTTTATTAAAACTAATAAGCTGTAATGCAGTTGAGATTTGGGTTGATAGAATAAGATCTGGATTTAAATATTTCTGACAGAATATTTCAGCAAAGTTAAAATTTTAATTAAAGTATAAGAATTAATTCCGTGTGTACTATTTTAGATAGATTTTATGTAAGCATATTTGTGAATCCAATGTAAATTGTTTTTTGAGACTTTTTCAATAACTAATGCAAGAAGATAAATAAAACATGCTTATTTGAGGTAACAGTAAAATTAAAGTATTCATTATTATTCAAAAATGCTGAGTTTCATTATCTTGCAGTTTCTTCAGCTTGTAGATTTTAGGTATGCATGGTATTTCATACTTTTATTTTATTTCTATTCATTGGTATTTCGCATATAGTATTATGATATTGCAGAATTATAACTAAATTTTATAAAAACTTATTTTATAATTACATTTCTGTCTTTAATTCATTGAGTATATATATCTGAATACAAGAGTGATATTTTTTTTTTTTTTAATTCTTGGAAAATTGAAATAAATTCATATCTAAAAAGCAATATTTAAACATGCATTTTAAACAGCAGGGAGATGTATATATAGCTTACTATGAAAATGAAAGGTTTTATTGTATTAAAATGATTTAAAAAAAAAACTGTTTCAATCGGAAAAATAATGCTGTACATTTATTTGCAGTTTGTTGCAAAAATTTTGCATGAAAGCCAAATGAATTGTCCATCTCTTGTAAAGGATATAAAAGGAGAAAGTTTACATCAAAATTATCAGAAAAATGAAATAAGTTGATATTTTTTACAGGTTGAATGCCATGCTCTCAGTTTAAATTTTAATTTTAATGTTAAATGTTTTAATGTTAATTTGTTGTTTAAATTTCTTTTCTTCTAATTGAAAAGATCCATTGTTAATCATTTTGGTAATTTTCTGTTATTGGAACTGCACTCAGAAATGTATGAATGCATGCATGTATATATGTATGTATTTGCACATGTATGTGTGTGTACACACACATGCACATACTTAAATACATACAAACATATATTTCTGATTTGAGTCCCAATAACAGCACAGTACCATCTTCTAATAAAAAAGCCCCCACCAGAAAAAAAAAAAAAAGGTTGATCTTTACAATATGGTAACTGGTAGTTTGGCGACATTTTGGAGGCGATAAAGGTTACTACCTGGGACTTTGGTAATAATGTGAGCAGTACTCAGTTCCGATTACGCATTATTTGTTGTGAGGGAAATGAGAGATCATGGGATATGTCATGTGATATTAATGGACGAATTACGGTTCTTTAATCGGAAAAGGGGGGAAAATCGGGAAAAAAAATCTGGAAATTTGTATTTGGCTTTATTCTGTGTTGTGTGAAACAGTGTTCGTGAAATTTTGGATCCCATGGCCGAACTAAAGTGAATTCGAAAGGGGTATTTATGTATGTATTAATTTAATGTATGTGCTCATTTATTTTAAGTAGTGTTTTTGAATTTAATTATATTTTAATTAAATGATAGTTATTTTGTGAATTTTATGTTTGTAGGAATTTGGTATACGTTTTAGTTGAAGTAAACATGCATGGAAATAATTTAAATATCTGACACTAAGTATTTGTAATGGTTGCGGTATGAATTCGTTGGTGATGTGTATAATGTAATAGATGATTTAGAGGTAAAAGTTTTTGGATATTTTATTTATTTTATATGTGGAAATGTTCATATTTGGAAAGGGTAAATACTTTCTCGCGATCAGGTAATTTCATATATGTTCTTTTTACCGGGTTTAAAGATTGAGAAAATTGTCATGTATTTTCGTGAAATTTTTCTAATTTATGAGAAAAAAGCAGTGTACATGGATATAGTGAAGAGTGTGCGCAATGCCATTTTTGTGCAATTCTGGGATGTTTTTTTAAGTAAAAATAAGTCGACGTGTACATGGTTTAGTGATATTTTAATTAAATGATAGTTATTTTGTGAATTTTATGTTTGTAGGAATTTGGTACACGTTTAAGTTGAAGTAAACGTGCATGGAAATAATTTAAATTTTTGATACTAAGTATTTGTAATGCTTGCGGTATGAATTCGTTGGTGACGTGTATAATGTAATAGATGATTTAGAGGTTTTTGGATATTTTATTTATTTTATATGTGGAAATGTTCATATTTGGAAAGGGTAAATACTTTTTCGCGATCAGGTAATTTCATATATGTTCTTTTTACTGGGTTTAAAGATTGAGAAAATTGTCATGTATTTTCGTGAAATTTTTCTAATTTATGAGAAAAAAGCAGTGTACATGGATATAGTGAAGAGTGTGAGCAATGCCATTTTTGTGCAATTCTGGGATGTTTTTTTAAGTAAAAATAAGTCGGCGTGTACATGGTTTATGTGTATGTGTTATTTTGAAAAACGCGTAAGGAGTATGGTATTGTGCACTTTTTCCCAATTTTGCAGTGAATATTTGTCATGATTAAGCAGTTTTGTTAGATAAAATTTCTAGCATAAGTGTAATTCGGCTAGTAGATTGTTGGAAGAAGTGTTCAGTAGATAAAAAGAAAAGAAACATGTCTTTACTTCGTGAAGACAAAATGGCGGCGGGAAAAAAAATAGAGGGTTGCTGTAGGAGAGTTGGTCGCCAAATTTTCGCCAAAAAAACGCCAAGTTACCATAATGTAAAGATCAACCAAAAAAAAAAAGAAGAGAAAGATTTCAGATTTTAAATATCACCCAGAAGTGTTTCCTAAGGTTTTTTTTGTATTCTTCCTGAGATTGCAATGTACCAGTATGCTGTTGCATTCACTCCTGCTATGCTACCCCCTCCCGTTTTTTGTCTTTTTAACTTTAATATTAATTAAGCATAGTTTTCTTCGCCACACACAGTTCAACAACAAAATTACAAAATTTTTAAAAGCTGCATAGCAGCACATGTTTAGAATTGTTGATGCGAGTGTTAAGTAATGGCATACATGTGTATTTTTTTTCTGTCTTTTCTCAAATTATCATATGAGTGTTGAGTTTTCTTAGCAAAATGGCCTTTTTTTGTGTGTGTGTGTGGTGTGTTTTTGCTATTAACTTTTTATATTTGAAATATATATAATCAATACCATGTTCATTGAACTTATGCCACATGAAATTCCACTCAACAGCATATCTTTAGAATTTCCAGTAAGCAATCTCGGGTGCTGAAGATAAAAATGTTTTATTTTGTACAGTGGTTGCCACTGATGGATTTCAAATTGTTGAATTTGTTAATCAGAAATTCATGAAGTTTTATAAAATGTGAAATAAATAATAAAACAAGTTCAAAATTTAAAATTCAGGCTTTCAGGTGCACATGTTGGGGTGGAGCATTATGTTGTTCAAAATTGGGTGGCTCTAGGTAACGACGTTTTTGCCAGTGCAAGAGCATTTGTTTGAAACTTGTTTGAATTCACATTAATGAAAAGTATTTTTACAGTTAATTTGTTCAGTTGGTAATAAAATTTTTACCAAACAGTTTTTTTTTTAATCCAAAGGGGCAGTTTGTCCTGAAAGACTATTAATTTCATTTTAGCGTTTTTCGTCGAAAACTGTGAAAGGCTGTATAACTTTTCAAATCGTTGCCACCATATATTATCGCCCTGTCTTATCTTTAAAGAAATTAAATAATGAAGAATCTGCATGGTAACTCGGTGAAAATTTGGCGAGCAACCCTGCTACAGCAACCTGCTAGTTTTTTTTTTTTTTTTTTTTTACACTCAACATTTTATGACAAAGATTAGGTGCGAAATTGTGTCTAAGTGCTTATTAGCTAAAATCAAGATCAGAATTTTTCGGAAAGTAGTGGAACAAACGTGCACAGAAATTTGTTTTTACAGGGCAAATTTATGTATGAAACATGTAAATAATTTTTCTCATAAATTAAAAAAAGTTGCACGAAAATCCAGGAAATTTTTTTGAATTTTTGAAGTCTGTAAAAAGGACATATATGAAAAATTACCTGATCGCTAAAAAGTATGTATACTATGCAAGCTTTTATATTTTCAGCTTGCATATACCCTTTCCAAGAATGAACATTTGCACGTATAAAATAAATAAAATACGCCAGAAATTACATTAATTTCCTTTTCCCTCTAAATTATCCATTATAAAAGTCGCCTGTGAATTTATTAGGCAAACATTAAAAATGGTTGCAAATACTTAGTGTCAAATATTTAACTTATTTCCATGCAGGTTTACTTGTACTGAAATCGATTCCAAAATGCTACAAAAGCATAATGCACAAAATCACTATTATTTAATTAAAATATAAATAAATTAAAAAACACTAATTAAAATATAAATAAACATATGCATTAAATTAATAAAAATTAGCTTAAAATCTTAGTTACTTTAAAACTAATTTATTGCTAATAAAAATTTTCGGTTTCGAGGGCCGTAAAAAAATCGTCAAACTATTGTTGATGCGAATGCTGCAAAAACTAATTGTGGCAAGAAAGGAAGTATGATAGGAAATAACTATCTAAGATTGATGTTTTAATTTAGGTTAATTTCATATAATACTTTTTTATTATTATAATTTATATGAAAAAGGCTAAACATGACTGAATGGAAGCATAAGAGTCAATAACTATTTCAGATCATTATTATAATTTATGTAAAAATTGCTAAGCATCATTGAATGGATGCCTGCATCGCTATTTCACTACCGACTTATCGCTAAAGCATAATTTCATCTCATTGGTTGTTCAAATTGTAATTCCCTATAATGAATGATGCCTTTTCTTTGAAAATATTCAGAATCGCTAAATTATTTGTTTGCCGCTTTTTACAAGGGTAAAAAACAATTGGATTTTTGTCTATTTTATTTTACTTTTTAAATGAAAATAGGTCGATGTGTACATAGATAAAGTCAAGGGGGTGTGCAGTGCCATTTTTGTGCAATTCTGGGAATTTTTTTTTAAGTGAAAATATGTCGATGTGCACATGGATACCGAGTATAGGCAATTCTTAGAAACACGTCAAGCAGCGAGTGATTTTGCACTTCACCCAAAATTCTATTGCCGACTTTTCACATGGGCAATTTCCAAATTGTTAAATCCATAGGATATCAAAAAAGGATTTAAAAATTAAACTAGTATTTCAATGGCGTCTTAAGAATTATAGAACTATATAAACTTACGCAATCTGTACGCTAGATTTGACGCACTGTTAAATGGGCGCGTTTGCTAGATTTGGTGCTTTTGCACATACATTTTCGCTGCAATTTTTTTACGGACCTCGAAACAGAAGAGTACCAAATTTTCTAATAATAGCATATTAATTTATTTATTTATTATATTTAGAACAATGCTTAAAAATAATCTCTTCAAATGATTAAAAATACTAACCTACCTAATTTTCTTCAGAATCTTGTCCATTTTCACCAGATTTCTTGCACCGCCATTCAAACTTATCTGTAATATCCTTTCTTTCACACAGTCTCATTTCATTACCACGTGTTGGACATTCATACTTATCTACAATTAATCCTACACTCATACACCATTCAAGCAACTCTTTTGGATGATCACATAAATGCAATAAAAATTTGGAATTTACTTTACAGAGGACCATGTGATCCAAATATTAAGCAATTCTGTTTCACACAAGATACAAGATGGAATGAAGCTGAACATACAAAATAGTATGAAGTACTGCAGATATTTTTGCAAATCCCCCCCCTTTTTGGGTTAAAGAACTCTGATTCGTCCATAAATGTCTCATGATCTCTCATTTCTCTGAGAAAATAATCTGTGATTGGAACTGTGTACTTCTCAGATTATTGCTAAAGTCCTAGCTAGTAACCTTTATCGTCTTACCAAAATGCTGCCAAACTACCTGTTACCATATTCCAAAGATTAGCCACCTGCATAAATAGCATTGTGATAAAACAATGGTACCTAAAGCTTATCAAAATCTGAATAACCTAATCTTCCATAGAATATGGGCATGTGGAAGCCCTGATTTGAAATTGAAATTTGTTTTATTATCGATTTCAGATTTTGTAGCACTTCCAACGAATTTTTTATAAAAAAAACTAAACGATTCTAAAGCAAGCAGTGGCAACACTGTGCGAAAAAACATTTTTATCTCCAGCACGTGAGACTCTATCAGAAATTCTGAAGATATGCTCATTTTAAAATTAATTTGCGATATTGCTGTTGAACTGAATTTTATAGTTTGAGTACATAGAAAATTATATTTATTAAATAAAGGTAACACATGGAATATTAAAAAAAGTCTCTTTAATGTAATTTAAAATATGAAACATTTAAGTTTTTTTTTTTAAAACCTGTTAGATAAGTTTTAAGTAAGTAATTTTAAAATATGAATGTGCTGTGCAATAATAATCGTAAATACTATGTTGTTTTGATGTGAGGAACACTTTGTATTTAAACTGATTGGTTTCTCATTTTCAGGGGAGTCCAGACAAGGAGGATCGGAAAGAAGTTCGAAAAGGCCGTAAGCCTGGAAGAAAGTCGTCGAAGATCGACATGAAGGCCAAACTTGAACGTAGTCGTCAGAGTGCACGAGAATGCCGGGCTCGAAAAAAGATTCGGTATCAGTATTTGGATGAGTTGGTGGCTGATCGAGAGAAGGCGGTGCTGCAGCTGAGAAAGGAGTTAGAAATGGTATTATATTTCTTCTGAGCCTGAGATTTTTCTATTAACCTTTATTGTTCGATTGGGTCCAGTACAGAGATATCGCTCATTTGTTCAGTAACTTATGGGGGCTTTGCAACAGAGCCAGATGTTTTTAACATGATTATGCTTAAGATGCTGTGCTATTATTGGCATTGGTTATCTGTAGTTAAATTATGCTAAGTCTGTAATATTTAGGTTAAATTATTTTATGACCTATTTGATGGTAAAAACATTGAGACGAATGAATATTGAAAATTTAGAGATGAATAGTGGAGATGAAAGATGAGAATTATTAAACGTGAAAGCAAAGATTTATTAGAAGTCTTAGATGAATGCCATGATACGACAGAAGAATTCGTTATTCCAAAAAGAATCTATTTTAATGTATTGCCAAAAGTCAGTAGACACCATGGCCCATTCAGCTGTAAAGTCGCTGAACACTGGCAGTTTGGTCTGAGGCTAGAACCCCGCGAACGGGCTGGCTACATGGGCGTGTTCGTTGTTTTCCCATGTGTAACATGTATACAAGCCAGTTTGCTTTAGAAAGGTCTTCCATAAAGGCATTCCTTTCCTTAGAGGCATTGCCATAATCACATAAACAAAACAAAACCATTAGACCCCCATGTTTCTTCAAATATTGTACAGCTGATGCAATATTTAATATTTTTTTACAGACAGCTTGGTAAATGAAATTATATATATAAAAAAACCCAACAGTTATGCAGAAAATATATCCTAAATGCACAAAATAATAATACTTTGCAGATGCTGCAGTGCAAAAATATGAGTTTCCGGTAGGCAGGCAGTGGTACAAAAATGTGCAAAGCATTAAGGGTTAAATATTTTTTCCTTTACTTTTAAAATGGTGTTATGCTTCAGTATTATCCATCAGTTGATGGCATATATGAAATTGAAGCAGTATACAAAGTCAAGGATCCTATTCCAAAACTTCAAGAATTGGAAAGGATATTTTCCCCTTTTTTCTCACTTATATTCAGTGTAGGAAGATTCTAGGAATGAGATAATATGAATGCAACCATTTCATAGTTTACAATAGTTTGGGTTGTCAAGAATCATATTATTCACTTGTCAAGTATATTAGTTAATTTTTTTTTTTTTTTACAAGTTACTACATAAGAATAGTGAAAGGAAATGTTATAATAAAAATTACAATATTTATTCTTTGTCATTCAATCTTTGATAAGTTAAAATGTCACCATATGACATTTTTTAACTATTATTTATTAGTGAGGTCCTTACAAAGCAGTGACTGAACATTTACCAAATAGAGACAATGCTTTATGCATTTTTTGACTTTAAGCTTACAGTTGCTGCTTTTAAATTGCCACCTTTTAGAAGCATATAACTAATTTCTAATATTACGAATCTTTGAAGTGATGAAATATTGTGCATTGCAGTTATAAAAGCCCCTCTTTTTTGGGGGTGCAAAGCAAGGGTTGCATTTGTTAGTGAATTTCACTGAATGATAGAAAAACACTATGTGTACATTAAAGAATTGTCCAAATTATATTGTATTTAAACGGTCACTATTGGCCTACTTTTTATAATTAATTATTTTTATCTCTTTCATAAACTTTAATTCGGTAATATTTTATTTAATGAACTAAAGGTAAATATTTTAGTGAATAAATATAGAATTAAAGAATATAATTAATAATATCATTTAATGAACCAAATGTAAACAATTATTTATTTACTTTAATGGTATTTTATTACTCGAAAACAAGATATAAAGCAATATATACCAAATTACAAATAATAATAATAATAATAAATAAAGGCAATCACATCACTTGGGAGAAGAGAAATGAGATAGCTGCATGGAATTTGTTAGCTCCCCCCTCCCTGTAAGTAATAAATATCATGACCAGTTTTCTTTATAAAGTCATCTGTCAGAGTGGGTACATATATATATGTACTTTTGGTGCGACTGATCGCAACCAAAAAGGGAGGTGCACAACAACATACTACAGCAGTCCTGTATATAAAATTTCAACGTTCCAAGGACACTCGTTTTTGAGTTATGCAAGATACATTCATATCTACGTACTTGCAGACATCACAAAAAAAAAACTCTTCTGAATATATTTTAAATCAATTTTTTAATCTGTTTGGAAAGAGAGTCCTATATTCTGACCTTACGTCCAGATGTGATGCAAAAGCATTAAATTGCATTCAATAGCAGTCAAAATGGATATTTTCCTGGAAATATGATACCCGGAATTTTTTGCGATTACAATACTTTTTTTATTTCATACAAGGAAGTAAAAAAAGGATGAGGGGAAAATTTTTATTTGCCACCTTTTTGAATATACATTTGGCAGTAGCCAACAAATGCAGATGTTTTTTAATGCATGTAGGTTTACATGCTTTGTATTTAAATATCATTTTGCTGAGCTGTTTATATCAGCTACCATGATGTATAAATATGAGCCATATAGATTTTCTTCTCATAAAATTTCTAGTGTCATATAAAATGCCTTTTTTGTTGTTGTTATTATTTGTGAATGAAGCACTACCAATGAGTCAAAAAGATATTTAAGCAAATGCTTCTTGCCAGTACACGAAGTTGCCAACTTTTCACATTGATGTAGATAATCGGAAAATGACAAATTTTTATAATATTTGTTATGTATTTTATGGTAATTAATGATAATTACCATAAAATATTTTAAGGCTATTTTAAGACAAATTTTATTAATGGTCACTCCATGTAACAGACAGTTTCAAATTCTTTGTGTGTATGGTTTTTTTTTTTTTTTTTTTCCCAAATAGCAGATCATTAAATCCTCATTTAGTAGCTATTCTGTGATAATGAGCACACTTAGTCTCATTAGTGTCTGTGCACTAATGGAAGTATCCATAGTGTATATATTTTTACATGTAAATTTTTCTTATTGATTTTGACTCCAAAAAAGTTTCTACTATTTTTTGGAGAAGGAGATAAAAAAGCATTTGAAGAGAGTACTGCAGTAAATAAGTTTGTTTTGCTTGAAGTGAACCCTGTTACTTTTTCTAGGCCTTTTGTCTTGTAAAATGATATTAGTACAATTATTAATTGTTCTAATTGAAAATATTTTTAAACAAAGTGGTTGATATAACTTTATTATTTTTAGTACACTCAGTGGGCCCGTGCTCTTGATGAAGGCCATATACCAGAAGCAGCATTGAAGATGGTAGAAGAAGAGAAGAGGAAGGAGAGAGAGAAACTGTTAGACAGGGACATAAACCGTCAATAATTATGCTGTGTTTTTTTAATTGGACTAAATTGTGCAATAGTTACCATTTTATTTTTGTTTACTGGTCTGCATTTGCATATTTCATTATTATGTATTTCAGTATCAGAAAATTTATTAAAATCATAAATGTGAAAGAATCTCATCGTGTGCTTGTGCAAAATGAACTGCTTTTGTAGAATGAACAGCAGTTTGTTTTAGGATATTTTATTTTGACTTCTTACAGAAGATTGTGAAAATAGAATGCATTAGAATTTAGAATAATGTGGTTTATATTTTTAGTAACTTTAGTTGACCAAAAAAAAATTATCAAAAGTTTTTTATTGTTGAATGCTTGACAGAGGAACGTCTAGCAAAATTACTTTCAAAAACTGACATACAAATAACTCATATTTCATGTAATCTGTTATAACATAGATAAATATTACTTATCTTGCACTGTTATTTATATATGTGATATTATTACTTTGTTTTTTAATTGAAATATATAATTACTGAGTATAAAAAATATAAGGTTTTATTTGGTGCAAATTTTAAAAATGTTGTTATTGGGTATAATTACCTGAAAGTAAATTTTGTAGTTGGAATTTAAGAAATAATTATTGTATTATATTGTTTGTAACACTTACATTCGCCATCTATATAATATTTTACTAAAATTCATACATAAGAGGTATTTTCAATTCTGGCAGATAGCTCTTAAGTGCTTTGCGATAATTAATCCAGTCCAACATATATAATTAATCCAAGTTAGAAAATAATAATATGCAAAAACATCCATATATATATATATATAAAAGATATCATATTACATTAAAGTAATCAAAATACATTTTATGTGTACAAAGAACTGTTGTTATTAAAAGTTAAAATGTCAAAAATATTCAAGATGTATCTTGGAAGTGTTGTAAGTTTTATCTTTTTATTTAAAGCATTTTGTACAGAAATGTGTGAAATAAAAATTAAACACTTATGTTTAATATACTTATATATAAACACTTATGTTTATATAAACATAAGTGTTTATATATAAGTTTATATAAACACTTATATATAAACACTTATATATATAAACACTTATGTTTAATACTTATGTTTAATGAGTATTGTTTTTTAGTAGTGATGTATTATTTAATCAGTGGTAATTAAAATTTGTGATTTTTTATTTATATAATGAATTTGGTCTTGTATCTTTCCCTGACTTCATGTTACACGTTAGTGATCCATTTTTGGTGAGTGGGAGGGAATAGATATCTGTGATGAAGCTTTCATTTTTTTCTTACCATTCAAACAGTTTCTGATTAAAATTTGATTCAAATTGAACTGTTTTGATACTAGTAGAAAACGATCAAATTAATTAACATTTTGAAATCATGAAGAGGTTATTGAGGAAATTAAAGCAACAAGAATAGTGTAATATTCATAAATTTTCAGAACCTGTTTCAAAGGTTTAATCAATTTAAACCTTTGAAACTAGTCCTGCAAATGTTTAGCCCAAAGGGGCAATTTGCTCAGAAGGGCTATTTCGTTTTGGAATTTTGCATTGATTTACTACGAGGCGTATTTGGAAACTAAGTACCGTTTTGAAAAAAAAAAAAAAAAAAACAATTTTTTCGAATCCAATTTTATTTTTACATGAAAATACATGTCTTAAACTATTTTTCAACATAGTTTCCACCAATGATCAAACACTTGTCATAGCGGGTGACCAGTTTTTGTATACCATCGTCAAAGAAACTTCCCGCCAGTTTCGATAAACACTACTCCACAGCATTTTTCGTGTCAGCGTCAGATCCAAAGTGCTGGCCACCAAGCTCATGCTTCATGTGCAGGAACAAGTGATAGTCAGACGGCGCCAAGTCTGGGCTGTACGGCGGGGGATCGAACTGCTCCCAATGAAACTGTCGAATTAACAATTGATTGACACCAGCAGTATGGGGCCGAGCATTGTCATGGAGCAACACAATTCCTTTACTGAGCATTCCTCTTCATTTGTTTTGAATGGCACGCCTTAGGTTTGTTAAAGTCTCACAATATCGTGCCGCCTTAATGGTTTCACCTCTGGGAAGAAATTCAGTAAGCAAAACGCCTTTCCTATCTCAGAAGACAGTGCACATGATTTTTTGTGATGACATTGTCACTGAACTTTTGTTTTTTCGGAGAATGAGTGTGTCTCCACTCCATCGATTGTTTCTATTCTGGTGTGAAATGACACACCCAAGTTTCATCACCTGTCACAATTTGGTTTAAAATGTTTTCTCCCTCATCACTGTAACGTGTGAGAAATGTCAGAGCACTACCAAGTCGCTTTGTTTTGTGAACATCAGTGAGCATTTTTGGAACTCATCGGGAACACAGTTTGTGATAATTCAAGCGGTCAGACACAATTTCGAACAAAACAGTACGTGAAATTTGTGGAAATGCCTCTGAAAGAGTTGTCATTGTGAAGCATCTGTTCTCATGAATTGCTTCATCAACTTTCCTTACCAAATCATCGGTGACAACAGAAGGCCGAGCCTCGGCGTGGACATTTGTTCGACCTGCATTGAACATTCTTACCCACTTTCTCACCATTCCATAGCTTATCGCGTATTCACCATAAACTTCTGTCGCTTGACGATAAGTTTCGGCCGGTTTAACATTCCTCGCGTTCAAAAATTTAATAACAGCACGAATCTCACAGTCAGTGGTAGAATTAATTGTCTTAAACATTTTGAATGTGCACAGCAAACTGAAAACACAACATAGAGCAACCAGAATGGTGACAATTGAAAGTCAGTGAACAAGAAAGACTAGTGCGCATGCGCGGGATGCCTGCGACGGTGCCAGAATGAAACGGTACTTAGTTTCCGAATACGCTACATATAAATGGTGAATCACTTTTTAAATTGCTGCCACCAAATATTAGAGCCCCATATTATATACAAAGAAATTAAATAATGAAGAATCTACATAAATGTATGTAAGAAAAATAAAGCATATGTAAAAGATTAAATTAGCAGCCAAAATTAATTTCCCTTCTTTATTCTAAAAATAGCAATGTGTATTTGCTCTGTGTCAAGAAAAATCCATGTCATATAACTCTTATGTAATTCTGGTGGTGTAAATTGAACTAAAACTCAAGCAACCAATAATAATTTTACAGCAATATTAACTATTCAATCAAAATGCTTTTAGGACCAAAATTAACTCAGTCTGAATAAGATTTCACCCTGAAAATAACACACTTGCTTTCCACGCTTTGCCCTAGCTAGACTGCTGTCTGTCTACTGCTGTTTTCTTGCTACAAAGTTATCAAAAATGTAAGATCTTTGGAACAGGCATATTTAGTATGCTGACTTGTGTGTAGCCGCAACATGTTGCTGAAAATAAAACTGAAGATTTAATCTGCCTTCGCCTTCAATTTCCTGGTCATTGCATCTGAGTTTCAATATAGTATATATGTTTCTTGCATTGTGATAAAACAACAGTACCTAGAGCCATCAAATTTTGAATAATGTACGTCACCACCCGAATACAGGCATCGAGAAACCCAAATTTGGAATTTGTTTTATTATCTATTTCATAATTTTTGAGTTTTTGATTAATCAACTCGGCAATTTCAAAGTGAGCAATGGCAATACTCTACGGGGGAAAAAATTTCTTATCTCCAGTGAGTAAGAAATTCTAAAGATATGCTCTTTTAAATGTTTTGTGATACTGCTGTTGAATTGAATTTTATGGTTTAAGTGCGAAAAACATTTAATTTTAAAAAAAAGGTAACACATAAAACATTAAAAATGTCCCTTTGGGCATAATATAAAATCAAAACTTTCAGATTTTTTGTTAATATTATTCTGATTCTTGTTGCTTTAACTCTCCAATAATATGACATGTTATTTTAACTCAGACTTAAAGTATGGCTTTCTAATAGAAGAAAATTAAACACCATGCAGATATAGCCTAAAGTCAAATTTTTGTAGTTAGTTGCGAGATCTGTTTTGTTAACTTATTATTCGCTTCTGATTGAAGAAGTTATTAATGAATTACCAAACTTCGGAGAAAGGAAAACTGCTAATTTATAAATAACTTCTTGTAGATAACAAGTATTCTTAATTATATGAATGGTTGCTATGTGCGCGTATGCAGTTTTTCTACAGCTAGAAAACAAGTAAATGTCTTAAAATATATATATATATATATTTCCAATGGTGAGCACTAGCCTATAACAGCATTGGCTACTACTGAGGCCAGAACTGGTGACCATTTTATTGTGGAGGCACCTAACGGGCCACTGTTATCTCCTATGAAGGAAATGGCAATTTTATATATCCATGTAATTTTCCGGGATTCGAATCCGTGCCCTTTGGTATCGCAGTCAGGCTCCCCTAACCAGTATACCATCTGGACAGTTTTCTTATTAACAAAAAAATATTTTTTGTGTAAACTAGGAAGTTGAACAGTTTTGTTTCAAAATGCATTTATTTAAAAAATTATATTTTTGCACATGAATATTTTAAACTTATTATATTTTATAAAGCTTCACTGATTGGACTTGATGCAAAAACTATAAATCTGTTTTTATGAAATACTTTGCTGTGTATCAAAAAATATTGTAATTAAAAGTAAATAATTAGGGTAAAGGAAATAGAGCTATTATCATCTCCCCTTCTCAATATTCTGTATAATCAAAATAAGATTCTAAGATATTGAGTAATGTGAACAATTTACAGTATACTCATATGTAATAATTAGAACAATGAAAACATTTGACGCATTATGAAAGCCAGGTTTTCATAGTATCTAAACGAATCCTCTTTATGTTCATATAATTTCATATAAATGTTATTTCTACACAGTTGAGAATCCTGATATGATTTTTTCTTTAGAAAGTTAAGTGTCTTATTGCATAATTATTACATTAATACCTAGTTGTACTGTAACCATAAAATAAGATTCATGTATCCATCGGTTTCCTGATGCGTAATTTTAAAAAACAATCCAGCTTTCCTAAATGTTCCTCCACAAAGGAATTTTCCTTTAGGCAAAACACCTAGTGTTTTTGCTGTAGTCCAGATAACTAACTTTAAGATGGAGTTAGTCACATATTTGCACAGAAACTGGGAGAGGCGAAGGCTTGCTTTCCATCTTGGAATGTTCTGTTATAATTCTGGCTGGCATTATCCTGGGATAAATGGGATAATACCCTTGGTTATTACACATTTGCTTATTTCTGTTAATTTGTTTTAAATTATTATTAGCATTTGTGTCCACTTAAGCATAGTGCCACTCTGCAGGTGACTCCTTGTAATGCAGCTCACTGATTGGTGTCGCTAAGAAGATATGTGGGTAAATACTGAAAATTTCGGGCCTTCACAATGGATAGTGTTCTAAAGATGTTTATTTAGTTGAGAACTTTTTTGTATTTCCCACATATTGCTCTAGATTTCTCGAAGAATTTTCTAAGATTGCGATGTTTCTCCTATATCACTTACAAGCGAATTCCATAAGGATGTTTCTGAATCTTTCAAGAATATTCTTATGGCAGCTTTCCCTCTCTGATTGGGTTTTATTATAGATATTGACAATAATGATGTTTGTAAATG